AGCTTGTTCGATGTTCTCAACAGACTTGTCGATGACTTAAAGGGCAGAGTAGAAAAGATTGGTGACCGAATGGGTCGCTTAGAGGGCCCATAGTAAGAAATAGCGTGACCAATGCTGCAACACATGTTGGAAGTTTATATAAGTAAGACAAGACTTTAATTCTGGTGTTTCATGGTAATAGGTAGGAAGTTCATGTTTTTGATACTCTTAACTTTAAGCATTCCGGGAGGTAGCAGTTAAGGAATGTTGCAAAAAATATTGGTTGTGTTGAGAAAACCTGACGTTACGAAACTGTGCTCATCGCCAAATTTCTTGGCAAAAGTCGATCTGTAATAACCCAAACAATTCTTACACTCTGGAACACACCGTGCAAGATATGTTAACAAAGTTCCCCAACAGCCGTGTTTGTGGTATCACCGGGTGGAAGACACACCACCGAACTGTACTTAAATCGTTCTGTCCCGCAATGTGCTTCAGACCGTCCCGATATCCCAGCGGGATACTCCACCACCTGCCTCCAGTTTCACAGACGGTTGGCGGGGTGGGTTCGAGCTCCTTGCTTTTCTATTTCTAGCAGGGATAGCCCGCGGTTGGTGGCAGCAGCTGTATTGACGGTCAAGCAATGTAATAGGGCAGGTTGGACCGTGTCAGGTATTGCGGCACGTTCAGTTTTTGCCGCAAAGCTTTGCCGTTGACTCGGAACTTCAGGGCTCACCAAACAAGCACTGCTCAGCGCGGGCGCTCATTCAAGAAATACACCTAATCCAAATCCTCGCGCAACATTTTTGAAAAGAATCCCACGCTCGCCCGAATCATACTGCTTAGCAATTTCGCACACATCATGGCTGCCAAGGAGGCGTAAGGCGACGTTGCAGGAAGTCCTTATATCACAAATGGGCAGAGCGGTGGGTATTTCTTCTGATCCCCAGTCGTGTCAACGCAGACGTGCTAAAGTACCCGTTCATTTCCGAGGGAACAGATAAGCGGGGCACTGAGTGACAGATAAGCGGGACACTGAGTGAACAGATAAGCGGGGCGCTGAGTGAACAGACAAGCGGGGTACGGAGTGAACAGATAAGCGAGGCACTGAGTGACAGATAAGCGGGGCACTGAGTGAAGTCTCCAATGATGCCGTAAGTTCTCGTTTTAAGAACGAATCAGGTCAGCAAAGAAGTCGTAGAAAGGTGAAGTGAAAAGAAGTGGGATGTTAGTGATGCCTTCTGCACGGCTAGTGAATGACCTTTTTTGCCAGGCCGAAACGGTAGTGAGTGTTATCCCATGGGGTCATCGTTGTTTGTATGGTGGTGCGTTATGCCCTGATTTGTAATGTGTCAGTTGCCGACATGAGATAAAGAGCTATTGCTTTTAGGAATGGATAGGGTATGCATACGAAGCGTTTAATAACAGATATATCAGATGATGACGTGTGTCTCTTGGTGGGATGTATTCTAGTCTAACAGACTATGTGAAAAATGTCGTTTGGTGTCAATTATAAATAATGGTGTGATAGTATAGATATATCACGATAGACATAATTTGATATAAATATTATAAATAAAATAACGACGAATCAACATCACGGGCAATGACCCTATAAAATAGTACAAATCGGCAGTCCTGTGCTGTTGTGCTGTTTACAGGAAAGCGATATCAAGCCGTGCTAAGGATCACGCTAGAGATTATGCTTTATATTGTCATATTGCAGTGTAAAGAACCAGCGTCTGACAAAAGTTGTCGCATGCATCGGGAGTGGATGTAGCTTTCTGCGCGTTTACCTAATAATTTGACTTGTGAAAACTAAAAAAACTAGTTGCTGAAATCGAATCATAAGTAGTTTTTGGGGAGTCTGGGTGCCTCCATTTCATCGGACTCGGAATGTTCATATTTGTGGCTTCACTGGTGATCTGTGCCCGTTTATTTGGTTCGATAAGCTATATTTGTCCATATAGCATACGTTTTTAAGTGTATTTGCCAGGAACATTACGCATCTCATTAAGACAGTTAATAGTCCTTTTTCTTTATCCGAGCTAATATCGGTAGAAAATGTTGATATTTGTTCGATAAGGGCATGTAGCCAAAACACCAATAAATTCATCTCTCCATCCTTCTGCCTATTCTACAAGGATCTATAGATTCCATCTGGCCTCGATTCAAAAAGTTATTGGCTTTCTAAGCGCAAGACCCTTTCATTTCCGCGCGTCCCGTTTGACGCGTCCTAAGAGTTGGAACGCCGCTTCGCCTGTACAGAGCTCTGTAGTGCCGAATGTATTGAGGTCTAAGCCGGCCGGCGCCTATTTCAAGTACTTTGATATGAAGTGGAAACACGCCGTACAACAATGAACATAAGTAAACAACACGTTCGCTGCACCTTAACAGCACCTTCATACAATTGCGTAAAGCGACTGTAATGACTAGCAAATTAGTTCAGGTCCGCCCGTCTCTGCGAACTTCCATCACCGGAGATACCGCAGCCAGCCACACACCGCCAGTACCATGTCATACGTTCGGCCATCGCATGATCCACTTACCAGTGCGTGAACCGATCCGACCACTCATTAGCGTGTGGAACAATCAGGAATCATTGTCCTGCAGACCGGCAACTTAGTGTCTATTGACCGGCCAAGTCAGGACCGTCCATTGTTGACAACCCGAGCCCAGCTAATGGCAGGCCATATTCTACAACCTGCGCCACCGAATCAACCGCTAACGTCTTCTCCTATCAGCGACGCGCGGCGCGGATCGCGAACAAGGGCCCACCGAAGCCGGTCCCACCAGTTCACCAAGAAACACACAGGCGCTCAGCCACACGGGACGGCCGGCAGCGTGGCGGACGGCAGCGCCCCTCCCCCTGCCCGTCCCCCTGCTGCAGTCCGCCGTCGCACTACCGCAGCCCGCCGTCGCGCTACCGCAGCCCGCCGTCGCGCTACTGCAGTCCATCGTCGCGCTACCGCAGTCCGTCGTCGCGCTACCGCAGTCCGTCGTCGCGCTACCGCAGTCCGTCGTCGCGCTACTGCAGTCCGTCGTCGCGCTACGGCAGTCCGTCGTCGCGCCACCCAGTCCGTCGTCGCGCTACCGCAGTCCGCCGTCGCGCTACGGCAGTCCGTCGTCGCGCCACCCAGTCCGTCGTCGCGCTACCGCAGTCCGCCGTCGCGCTACTGCAGTCCGCCGCCTCACTACTGCAGGCCACCGTCGCAGGCGGGCGCGGCCGGCGCTCCGGCGGCGCGATCGCAGCTGTCGGCAGACCGCGGGTCGTCGCGCTTGTCCTTGAGCAGCTCGTCGATGGTGTAGGCGCAGCGTCGTTCGGGGCGTGCGTCGGCGCTCCTGTCGGCGCCGACGGCTGGGCCATGTTGCCGCCGCGCCGCCAGCGCTGCCGCCGCCGCCGCCGCAGCTGCCGCCGCAGACTGGTTCAGCGTGGCGACGTAGGTGTAGTAGCAGCGCGAGGCCAGCTGGTAGTAGGCGGCCGGGTGGAGCGGCGACGGCGGCAGAGGCGGCGCCAGCGGACCGGCCGCCGGCTCCAGGGGTGAGCCCAGGCCGCTGGCGATGGGCGGCGCGCCCCACAGCGGTGCGGCCGCCGCCTCGCCGTACGCGCTGGCGCCTGCGGACACGCGCAGCTAGTGTTGGCTCATGTCGGTATCAGGCTCAGATGCTGGGTTCAGGCAAGCCTTCGGCTCCCGCAGAATATCTCGTGCTGATAATGTCTGAGCGAAATGCACCAGTGAGACGAGGCTCATGAGCAGCGTGGGATGAGCGGAGTGACCACCAACACAAAGAGTTGCTAATTACCTTATTGTACGTACCATAACACAAGTTAATGAGGTCATAACAAAACCAGGGGCGCAACCAGGGCTTTCTTAAAAGGGGACGTAGTACAGTCAGCACTCATCATAAGGGGACCAAACGGGCCGTTCATGATGCTTAAGTAAACAAAATGTGGGCCGGAAAACAGGCTTGAGTCAGGGCGTTCCCATACTCCTGGCTGCGGCTTTGATCAAAACACAAGCCAATAGGGCTGTACACTTTTGGAAACGTCTTCCAATGTATGATCAATGTATTGAAAAGACTATCTTCCCTGGAATTTAGCCCGCAGAAATTCACTTATACAATTTATTATCGCTCATTTACAAAACACAATGCTTGTAAATTTTGCACTTCTAGGTTAAGCCAGACCTGAAAATGCTTGGCAGCGGAGTTTACAATGGGTAATTACTTACAGTTTGAATGAAGTTGACCATGGTAACACGAAAGTGTAAACATTTTGGTTGGAAATTGCGCAAAATGAACTGGCCTACCACAATCGCCTGCACCATGCAGTTGGTTTCACGTCTTGATGCGCTCTGTTTGCCGAGATATGACAGGACTCCCTTGAAACCACAAAACAAAATTGGGTGGATCCATACTCCGTGCTTAATTACGTGTAAACACCTGCACACAGCGGCCCTTCTGCCAATGAGATTATCATTTCTCCCCTCCTCAGATGGTTCTGTTGATATTGCTTTCACGTCGCTACGAAACCGGGTGGTCTATATCTGGATCCGTTTTCGGTTTTTCAACCCATCTTTCGTATTTTTTGTGCTATTAGCTAATGTTTCGCTTCCTACATTTGGCAATTTATTGATCTGTATTCAGTTACCATACTGCAGAAAATTGCGGCTGAGTTAACACTTACTGTCTTCCCCCCCCCCCCCCCGTAAAACATGGACCGATAACTTTTTTCACAAGAAAGTAGCATTGGTTGCTCTTGAAACTACATATTCTGGGATTTGCATTTGCAAGGAACTAATTCCATTCTGGGAGGCATGTCGGCCGAGTATGGGCACTCGAGTTCGGACCATTCGAGCTGACACTTTACTCAGTGCTCGAGTTGGACTCGCTCTGCCTGCGGCCTCGCTTATTGTTTGAAACACTTAGCATTACAATCAGTCAAACAGCAAATGTCGGAAACACAGCGTTCTCATTTCGCACGCCATTTTGTCGTATCAGCAACGCAGGTAGACGAGTAAAGGCAATTGCTTCGGCTTCATCTGTATAAATGTTGTCCTGAAGCGGCCCGGCAGTCATGCTGGTGCAGAGCGTAGCCGAAGCCGGCGAAGGGTGAAGCGTCTCCATGCCCCGGTCACCGGTGCCGCTCAATTTGTACGGCCGGCAATGCGTCATTCGCTTGACAAGAGCAGGTGTTTGGCTGGCTTTTCATGGCGTTTACAAGAGCGGCCACCGCCGGCCTGAATAATTGAGAGTCGAAGCAGGTGAGAGGTGAGACCGATGACACGAAGGCAGCGTTAACTATGCATAGGGGCCAGGTGCCACCGCAGAAAATCACCCACTTTCCAGTGATGCCGGCGATATAGGGTCCACGGCGGCACGGCCCCTGCCCCCTGTCACAGGCCGTGATCAAAGACCCTGCAGGATAGCGCCACGGCAGGTGCATCCCCCCCCCCCCCTCCTGCCTTGATCGTGCAGAATGCCGACACAGCGGGGTCGGGTGCTGCCCCTCCCTCCCCCACAGCGAGGGCCTGTTGACAGGTGTAGTCCATAGCAGCGGACTCCAAACAAAAGGGCATGTGGTACACGACCCCAATCACACGGGTTACAGCTACGGTGACGCGGAACACGACACCAGTGACGCAGAATGAGCACACAGTGACCTGGGTCGCCGCCGCGGAAGGCGAGATGCGGCCCTGGCGACGGCGAACAAGCGCGTAGTGGCGCCCAGTGGGGACCTTTAAACGCACAGTACGGGCTTTGAGGGCCAGAGTGTGCCCTCAGCAGTGTTAAATGTAGAATAACGCAACCACAGCAGTGCCCAACGAGGCCTTAGCGCCGTAGATTTAAGATCGTGGATCGAGGGTAAACAACGCAAACTATGGCTTTGACCAAGGTAACACGAAGAGTGTAAGCATATTGGTTGGACATTAGTCGAAGTGAACAGGCCGACTACATCCGCCTATACTGCCGCCACCAATCTATGGTCTACAAGTTTGGGCACTTGCGCAGATCTAACAAAGCTGGCAAGCATCAGCACTGGCACCAGCTGTCAGTGGATTTCACCAGGGCCGACCAGTCCTGGTGCCGGTGTGGTCACGGTCATGCCCGCTTGCGGAGCGTCGCAGAAAAGGTGCAACTGATTTAGTACCGGCTGTCAGTGGTACGGTGCTGAAGTGTCGAAATCACTGTGGAGATCATTGTCGATTGCCGATGCGGCACCCAGGACATTCATTCATGCTCAGCCCCTCCTTTGTGCACAATATATTTGTGCCCAATTTGAAATCTTAGTTCATACTTAATTTCTTCATTGTAACGAAGGCTTTTCAGCATTTAACCGGCGACAGAACGCCCATGTGGCCTCACACCATTTGCAATCACATCATCAGCTTAAAAAGTAAAGGAACTATGCGTGGGGGTCAGGTGACCCCGCAAAACAAAACCACTGTTAATGCGGTGCAGTCAGCAAACGCAAAATGTTCAACCTGGGTTCAGCAGAAAAATTAGCCGATGACAAAAGCTATCTCGAAATGCATGGTTTGCGTCTACCAATCGGAATGCACTTTTGCGATTCACTGTACCGGATTTCCATGCTGTGCTAAAGCATACCTGGCATCTCACGTCTTTTTACATCTATCTATATGAAAGTATTTAGTCACTGAAGTAGCCTTTAGATGACATAACACCATTTTGCTGACGGGAATAGTTGGAAACTCTCACGGCTTTAATTTCATTAATTTCCAGTGTTGACAATACACTGCTAGGCTGTAAAGACGACTAAGTGTATTGGTTCGGAGACAAGTTGAGCGGGAAGGAATAAGCAGCTTTGAAGATCTAAAATTAAGCACGTCTGTCGTAGCATGGCACCTCAGTCGGCGCTGCACCACCTCTGCACACGGCCAGGGTCGAGGGGCTCACCGGGCTCCGTCGCGTCCGGTCCGGAGCCGGGGGTCCACACGCCGCTGTTCCTCAGGATCCGGTTGATGCTGGAGACGGACGGGATGCTGCTGGGGTTGCAGACCCGCTGGCTGAGCAGCTGGTCCCGGATCTCCCAGGCGAACACGCCCGGGTTCTCCTGCTTCATCCGCAGGATCTTCTTCACCACTGTCGGCGTCGCCACTTGCTGCCAACGGAAACGAAAGCTGCCGTTCACTGGCCCTGATAGATATTGCGCACGGAGTGCACGAATTACCAACGTTATGACTATTGCGCCCGGAGTGCAAGAATTACCTACGTTATGGCGGAATGATGATCGTCTGGAATGGGAGGATGTGAGAGGGGTGCTGTGGATTGCAGCGCCTCGAGAAGTTTGATTTTCGTCACGCGCATTTACGTACTATATTACCTTTGCTACCCCTGTGGTGTGCACTTAGCAGAGCGCCGACACAATGTGTCCAGGATAGTGCGCTCAGATGCGTGTGTGCTCAGATGCCAAATGCGCAAATCAGATGCGCTCAGATAGTGATAGTGTGCTCAGATGCCAAATCTACCTAGACTCACGGTATAAACCACGCAGTGCAATTCACGAAACATTGCTCTTACGTTACCTAAACGTTCGATTCCTTGTATGGCAGCAACCTTGTGTGGAATGGTTCACTACGTCATATGTAATTAAGTTCAACATTAACACGTTTTGTAAGGAAATATTTTACCTACCAATGGTTTTTGGACTGACGAATTATCCGCCATTCAGGCAGGCCGCTTGTTCAAGCTGGGTCCTAGGCACTTATACCCGAGAGGGATCCAGGTGGGGAATCCGAGGAGCTTTCTATCTGACGTAAAAAGCGCAACTTTCTCGCTGGAGGTGTGTGTTTCGGGTAACTGTCACGTTACCATGGATTTCCCGCCGGTTTGCAGGTCATTGAGCCATTAACCTGGCAACACATATCATGTCGCCAGCACTGATGGTGGAAGGATATTTTGAAACGCTGTTAAACAAAAAGTTGTCAACAGTAATCTGCCACGAACATAGGCAAAGCGACGACACGGGTAGAGCGGGGAGGGCATGACTTACCGACGCTTCGCAAAAATTGATACCATGTCGTGCTGTGTGGAGAGGACTTGTTTAAAGAGGATATTGGCCAACTCACTTTTTGGGACTCTCATGTGCAGCGGAAAGCACTGCAGCAAGGTTCAACGGCGCCTCGCCAACTACGATGCACCGCGCCGATGATGTTATCAGACATCTACACAGACTTGGACGCTGTGTAGATGTCTGACGCCCGCGGCCGCCTTCAGGACGCAGCCTCGCGGTCCGGTCCGCGCGCCGCTCCGCCGCCCACGGCGCCAGCTACCGGGCTGGAGCTTACCTTGGCCTTGCTGCCGCCGATGGCGCCCGGCTTGATGCTGCCCGTCTCGTAGAAGCGCGTCAGGATCTTGGAGACGCAGCCGTGCGAGACCAGCAGCTGGCGCGAGATGTCGCACGGCCGCACGCCGAGCAGCGCCAGCTCGACGATCCGCCGGCGCACGTACTCGGGCAGCGGCCGACCGTTCACGAACACGCCGCCCAGCTGGTTCACGCCGGCCTGACCTGGCCACGGGCGGTGTCAGGTGTTATGGACAGGGAGGCGCGCCCCGGCACGGACGGTGTCAGATGTGTTATGGACAGGCTGGGAGACACGCCTGGGCACAGATGGTGTCAGGTGTTATGGCTAGGAAGGCACGCCTGGGTACGGATAACCTCAGGTGTTATGGACAGGGAGGCACGCCTGGACACGGATGGTGCCAGATGTGATATGGGCACGAAAAGCGTTAGGTGTTACGAACAGCGAGGCATGCCTGGGCACGAATGGCATCAGGTGTTATGGACAGGAAGGCACGCCTGCACACGGACAGTGTCAGATGTGTTATGGACAGGGAGACACGCCTGGGCACGAATAGCATCAGGTATGATGGACAGGGAGGCACGCCTGGGCACGAATAGCGTCAGGTGTTATGGACAGGGAGGCACGCCTGGACACGGACGGTGTCAGGTGTTATGGATAGGAAGGCACGCCTGGGCACGAATAGCGTCAGGTGTTATGGACAGGGAGGCACGCCTGGACACGGACGGTGTCAAATATGCTATGGGCACGAATAGCGTCAGGTGTTATGAGCAGGGAGGCACGCCTGGGCACGAATAGCGTTAGGTGCTATGGACAGGGAGGCGTGCCTGGGCACGGACGCTGTCAGATGTGTTATGAACAGGGAGGCACGCCTGGGCACGAATGGCGTTAGATGTTATGGACGGAGAGGCACGCCTGGGCCCGGATAGTGTCAGATGTTATGGACAGGGAGGCACGCCTGGGCACGGATAGCACCAGGTGTTATGGACAGGGAGGCACGCCTGGGCACGAATAGCGTCAGGTGTTTTTGACGGAGAGGCACGCCTGGGCACGGATGGTGTCAGGCGTTATGGAGAGGGAGGCACGCCTGGGCACGGACGGTGTCAGGTGTTACGGACAGGGAGGCACGCCTGGGCACGGATGACGTCAGGTGTGTGCAGCATAGAAGCGGAAGTCACTAGCCGACCTTAGGAGCCTCGCTAACCTGGATGGCTGGGCGGTATCAAGAGGGCATACAGGGGGGCCACACCTATCAGGCACCAGGCACGGGGGTGTATGGAGAAACAAGACGCCCAGCTGGTAATAACAAGCAGGTTTCGCCTCCCTCTGATCTTCAGCACTACGCACGATATGTCGTGTTCAAGCAGAATTACATTGGCCCCAGCAGAGTGAGCCATGCGCTGATAACCCATCGGTGAGTGTGGCCTATGAGCTGTCAGATCAGGTCGAACTGGACCGGCAGTGTGAACATAGCTCCTACTCTCTTTTGTCAGGAACGAAACATCGTGTGACAATCAAAGAAGCCAAGCCAAGAAGCTTTTTAATTCGCGTCAAATACGGCTGATATGAGCCAAGTTATGTGAAACCAAATCATGAACAAAATAAGATTGTTCCCTTAGATATGTAATAAAGCTGGTGTACGCGCCATATCAAAACCTTGGATGATTTCACCAACTTGCATTTCACAGAACCACACCAGCTAAGTGTATCATCAGTGACAGGTACTGAAAACCGGAAACTCATTTAGGATAGCCGTAGCAGTTTAGTAGCATTAAGGTCAGATTCGAGCAATTTCCAGTCGTCATTGAAACCGATCCTGAATTGTATGTTGAGCTCTGACCAAAAACTGACCGATTTGGTTAAGAGTCTGGAAAATCTGTCTGTTTTCAAAAAGCTAAATAGTGTCTTATTGCGCTGCGTCTTCTATCGGTATCTCCAACTTACACATTGAAGGTGTACGAGTCTGTTGAGCTCTGATTGAAAACTGATCAATATGGTTAAGAGTCTGAAAATTTACCTGCTGTCAAAAAAACCCAATAGGGTCCTACTGCGCTGTGTTTTCTATCGGTACCTCTAACTTACACATTACTTCAATTGTTTGGGTGCTTAAGTGGCAGCCGCTCAACGTGCTGCCTCGGTTATCAGTACTTTCACATCAACGAATTGACATCTGTGGGATTATGTGGATTCGGTGGACGACTACTTCTTAAATTATGCGCTAGAAACCGACGAAATAAACTTCCAGTGCCTTTCCATTTTAGCAACATTGGGGATTGGGGTGGCTACCGCAGCTCGTCATCCGCGCATTTTGCTCTCCTTCAGAAGCGGTGCGCTGGTGTTTTACGTGCGCATTTGATGTGCCTATCGAGACAAAACTTATGTGTAATATTATATGGGTACGTCACGCATTATTCGCAGTTTAGTATAGTTGACCTAGTTACGTCACGCTGTTTAAGAACTGTTTGTGTACATTGACACGCCTCAAAGCACATTGTAATTAAAGTCGGCATTTATACAGTATATGCAGATTTCAAAAGCGGACATTATTCGCTACATAACTGTTTGAGTATATCTGTATATCATCTGAGAATTTGCCGTAGAATTGATTAAAGCAGCACATTGTGTGACCCATGCACGTTACCCGATGTGTGCTACATTCATCAATGGCATTGCTTTCAATGCTGAACCTGTCAATTGGTCATAGGAAACATGCTGAGCATTGACAGCAATTCCTGAAGAAGTGCCGTGCTTTGATACATGAGGACTTCAGATCCTTTATTAGGCTTTAAACTTTTGTCTCTTAAAGATTTATACCATGTGAGTTTTAAAACTACTGGGCTACGCATGCTTATTTTCTTTTGTTTGGCATGCGCTGTATTTCAAAATAAAAGATCTCCCTGAACAATTGTCTTCACAGGACTCGTCCAAGAAATGTTCCGTACCTGGCTCAAATCGCATAAGTGTACCTAGAACTGTCTTCCGCTGACACAGTTTTTGAGTTCTGTTTGTAACTACTGGAACCCATATTCTTAAGTAAACGCCCTCTTCGCAATCAGACTGATTGCGATGATTTCAGTATACAGCTATACTGAAACTCACGTCGGTATGTTTTGGTCATCACTTCTCGTCAGGACTTCGGAGACCGACAATGACGTAGCCTCACTCGTCATGGGTCGTTACAATAGTAAGGAGCTGCATACAATTAAGCGATGCAAGGCGTTTTGGTCTGGCTCGATTGAAAGCGCTATAAGCATAATACGGGCCTGCGTACAATAGTAACTCTCGCCCTGATTCACGGTTTTTCATGATATTGAACGATAAGGGGAGCGATGTGACTTTCCTGCCACTTCCAAACTAAGCCTAGGGAAAACAGTGGATCGGCCCCTACTAAGCATCGTAATTGGTTATATATTTTATGCTGCTTGGGGAATATTTGACCTACGCAGGCCAGGTAAAAGGCAAGAGTTCCCTAAAAATATACTTTTCTGCTTTACCCTATTCAAACCTACGAGACCGTGTCATGAAGTAACATAAAACCCAAGCAAATGTATTTATTGTTCAATTCTGAGCCTAACTGTATCTCGTCTTATGGGTTTTGGGCAAATGCTTATGACGTGGGACACTTTAACATAAGCAGTGCCGGCCGCCGCGCGCAATACGCTGAATCGTTGGCTGCCGCCCGCCACCCGCACTGGCCGTGGATGGACGTGAGCTCTTCATGACAAACCGTCGCTTCTTAGAAGCCAAAAGGGCTAGGGATGCGTTTTTGGTGTCAAAACATGCCTAATGGATGACCCGGATGCTATTAAGGATTTGACGCGATTGCACGACATACCGAGAGGAGTTCGGAGAAAACTGTAGGGGGACGCATCGACCCCGCTCCCCCCCCCCATCAGGGCGAGGTAAGATGCACAAAATGGGACGCATGTAAAATAAGTAAAATATGCAGACATTGATAGATATAATGATCACATTGATATTGATAGATGTAACGATCGAGATATAATGAGGAGTTTAGTTTCAATAATTTCCTAGTTCAAGTCACGCTGTAAGCATTTTGTCAAAAAATACGATTTTTATTTGTTGACATGACAACTGCCATTGTCAAGACGACGACAGAATCTGCTAAGATCCAACGTCAGCTGTCACAGACTAAAGTTACCACTATCTGACTGCCCTTTGTGGGCGTGCGGGCTTAAAAGTGGCACCTCTCCCGATATAAATGACGTCAGTACAAAACAACTATTGGGATTGGCAAGGTGGGAGGCGTAAGTGTGCGTAGGTGGTCTTCGGCCATTTACCGAGAAGTGCATTGGCTGAAGCCTGAATCAGTGTGTCGCTATAGGTCAAATGCTACTCTGTTTCCCCAAATCAGTGTGCCTCCAAAAGAGTCACTGTGCCAGACGCCGTAGGGCGATAATAAAGGCCATATTATTCGTTTCGTTGAATTCGCGTGATAATAGTCTCACATGTTTGTAGATCTTTTTCGAACACAGCGTGTTTACAGCTCTCGTAGCACTTACTCCAGAAGCATTTTGACAAAGTAGCATGTTGCAAATATAAGAGAACACTAGAGGACTACATGGGCTGGGTTAAACCATCAGCACTAGTATGAAATGAGTAACAGGTTGGATTGGTCACAGACTTTGAGAAGCCTGCGGGCATCGGTACGTATGTGGTCACGACATTTACGAAATGTGGAGTGGAAAGTTCAAGAAATGAGGACACCATGCTACTGCTTGCGGTTCTGTCAGTCAGCATTAGTTCCATTCAAGCATTTCTTGCCATCATCAAGGCAAGAAACTTTATAAGTTATTTTTTCGAAAACTTAATATAGCTTAAAACTAAAGAGCTCGAAAAAGTGCAAAGGGGTGGGATGACAGGTGGATATTACTGGTTAGGAATGGATGGCAGGTGGGTATGGGCGCAGCCCCATGGGCAGCGGGTGTATCGGATAAAGGAAATCTTACTGGTGAAGACATCTACAGAACACTGACGTAGGAAAAGTCAAGGTAAATGAAATGTATCGAACTGATGGTGATGAGCAGGAGGACCATTGATATTTATTCCCCCGGAGTGGCTACATCAGGTCCAAACTTTGAGCTATCCAGAAAGATTTCGAGAAAACTGATATTGCTGATCGAATCGGGAATGTCCTGATCTCACAATAACTAAAATGTGCAAAATGGTGACATGCTTCATTTAACATTAGTCATACAAAAACAACGGACATCATGATGTTGAAATTTTTGAGACAATGCAGAAAATTCAGGCCGTGTACCTAGACGGCTCAGATAAGGAATATTTTTTGGCGAATATAGTGGAAATATTACGGCACTTCGCACATTCAACGCTCGCTCACTTAACGATCCTCGTTTGGAAACAGGGCTCGATTTGTAAAAAAAAAAAACCAGTACTGTGTCATGCCTTGCCTAGCCCGCTTGTCCAGCACGCTTTCGATCCCAACCCGCGTAATTCCCGATACGTTCCATACGGATACATGCGTGTTTTTTCTGTCTATGTAAAAGCGAACCTGAAGTAATTAGGCAGAAAATGATGGTTTCTCTGTGCCTGCTTGGCATCGGCAGGGACCAGTTCAGACACGCGCGATAATGTAGTTCGTAATTTTTACCGACGGATAATGCGCGGTGGCGTGGGTGCAATGCAAACACGGTCAAAGACAACGAACGTTCGTCCGACCGAATCACTCGACGCCCCAGTGGAAAATGTGAGGACAAACTGGACCCCAGAAGGACTCCTATAAGGCAAGGTGGTGACTTGCACGGTATTTTACAGCGCGTTTGAACCATTTCAAACGTGACTGTCCTAAGTTTCATCCACGTGGGATAGGACAATGTATTACGGGTCGACCTGTCGCAGATCCCTTTGTGGCCATGTCGTTTTGGCCGACAGGCTGAAGGAAAATCACCCAGTTGTTCAGGAAATCTGAATGGCGTAAGTTTGGATAGCTATTATGTGAGGTATGCGCATACCTGAACCTCCTGAATAACACTATTGTAGCAACTGATTTGGGAAGCGTTTTCAAGCACCTGAACATAGCAAGTGGGAGGAAGGGGGAGGCGATGAATGATGGGCCTCAATTTCAACACCAGTGTTAACGAAATGGGCCAAATGATACGCAATTTAAAGTGTTTACATTACGGTATAATATAACTGTGTCATGCAACTGCAAAATAAAATTAACACCTTTACTACAACAGCATTTTCCATGTGTGCTAGTTTTCTGTCTTGATTTGCCGTTCACAAGAATCCGAGATGTGTCTTGTCCACCGCCCTTCAAAAAACTAAAATTGCCTCACCGCTGAACATCATTTATCGGAGCACTTTTACGACCCAAGCCGGTGACATTGATTATCAATTTCTCATCGCCATTTCCTGCTATAATTTCCACTATTCATTATTCCCCGCTATTCCCGGCGCGCCACCACCATGTCTGACCTTATTGCATGAGTCCTTGCAGCGAGATTCCTTCCACCTGGTCAGTGAATCATTTAATCCATCAAGGTTTTGGCCACGCATTCAGCTCCTTTGGTAATTCAATACCGAAATCCATCACGCTAAATGCCACAGCAGACAGATCAAACGGTGAGGTGTAAAGTCAGGCTCGAATCCACGACTTTCCGCAGGCCGTCATTAACTGTACAATCTGCATACCGTTCTTCATCCAGGACCTCATCCCTTCTCTTCCCACCACGGATGACAAGATATCGTGTTTCGAATGTTGCACGACTCCAAAGCCATCCCCAAGTGCATTCATCCCTGGTCAAGGATATTTCAAACAGGGCTTTCAATGATGTCCCGTGCAAGTTCTGACCATTTCTTCGATAAGCTTACCTCGTAGTTTGAACTCTTAAAGTGCGTCCAGTTTCTCCATGCAACACGTCTTCAACACGCGGCGCCACAATGCTGCACGTTACTTTGCCTTGGGTAGGAACGGCTGCCTCTGCCGTGCTTAAGTCGTCCCTGAGTTGTATTATGACAGTGGCGTCGCAGTACGGAGAGGTACCAGGAATCCGTAAACTCTTCGCCAGAAATTAGTCATAGCAATACAATGGGCCCAGGATTTCTTTCTGCAATCTTACACAAGTTTAGGAAAGTTAAAGATCCCTCAATGCCTGCCTTCCTTGAGAGGCAGACCTTGGGAGTCATTGCCTGTGACGTAGCCGAGGAGGGATTATGGGGCCATACTACACCTGAGCTGGCTACGCCCTTCTGAAAATGAACGCCTAAGTGCTTTTGACAGCTTTAAACGCCCGCAAGTTTCTAAAAACATAAAGAACGGGCCCTCGACGCGTCAAAATGGGATCCTGAGGCTAAATGGGCTTCTGGGACAAAAGCAACAAGAGCCTGTTGCAACGAAATTAGGCCTCTTGGCTGAAAGGGTATCATATGCCTCGATCTAGCTCCCCCTGTGCAAGCAAGTAGCCTAAAATTTGTCTCAGGGGACGAGGGGGGAACCGCGTGATTTTCTTTAAACTCCCGAGAATTTGGACCAAAATTCCTGCCAAATTACACTAAATACAGTGTACACTTCATGGGCCCAGGGGAGGGGCATAGACTTCCTCCATGACTTCCCATGGCTACGTCCCTACTCCTGGGGCGGAATCCTGGCCGCGCCACTAGCCGTGAACACTATGCTTCTCAAATCGGAAGTGATACAGAGGCATGGGTGTCAGGCATAACGTGTAGTTGGTATCGAAATATAAATGAATGAAGTCACGGCGCCCTGGAGCCCAGCATCAATGTCCCTTAACAATGAAAGGTATTTCTCATTTCATGGGAGTTCAGCAAACAAACGTGTTTTCCGATGTAGTGTCGCGAACTAGATTACAAAACACCGTGCTTAATAAAAGGTTCAACATGGGTCTGACCAGTCTCGCAGCTCCAGTGGACCATTCGGTGAGCTGGAGGAAATCGTTAACAGTTTTCTTTGTAACCGTGGCCGAATTTTCGTGGAAAAAACGTGGACATTTTGGTCAGATGTTGATCACAGCTGACTACATTATGCGCCTGTTTACATACTGGTCATGTCCCAGTGTTTCTGTCTCGTTTTAGATCACAGTGTGTCGACTGGCTTCGAGAAATGTGATCATGGTTGCTAACGGGCCGATTACCGGCGCACCTGGGGTCGGAGGGCATCGAGCTGGCGTAGTGGCTTCAAGACAGCACATTAAGAAGTGGAACAAAACAGTTGGACAGTCACGCTGGGGTTTGAGGTGAAGTGTTCTGGTTTCACGTCCTGATCTGCTCTGGTCGGCGATATCCGACACGCGTTCGCACACCTAAAAACCACCGAAAAAAGGTTCATCGTCCGGGGTCGGGTGCGGGCGACGGGCTGTTCCCGTCGGTTCACCCTTTTGCCAGTACGATTGTCCGTTTTGGCCTCTGTTTGTGTTGGTCCGTATCACTGTCGACGAAATCTAGGCCCGATTACGATCCGTATGGTGTGTTTACATTGTAATGTAGCGGGAAAATCATGGCTCATCCAACGGAAGGCTTTCAAATGCCTTTAAAGGTATTTAAAGGCCTCTCGCCGGATGAGCTATGATTAAGCCGCATGACATGTGAATAATTTTCCTGCTTGTTGTTGAAGACCGAGATGCAAGGTTGACGGCCCAGCCTGACGGCTGAGGCCTAAAGTTGCAAAAACGGAAAACACAACAACGGAGCCGGCCGGGCAGCTTCAGTTGACAATTTTTTATCACTGTTAAAGTGGGACTCACTCAGCTTGCAACATTCTCACACCTCACTCACTCGAGCACTCAAAGTGGTCGGAAACCACATGTGATAGGACATAAGATTGATATATCCCTTGGTAAGCAGTCGCTCAGCACAGTTCTCACTAATTTCAGCACACTCCCTTCAGCACCATGAAACAGTTAAGTAGACCACTAAAGACACGTCCCCTACCTGTGTGTGGCATCCTGGCGACTTCAACCGACATAGTCCGCAATCAGTGCAGACGGAAAGCCAAGCTTCGAGGCCCACCACAGCCTCCCCGCTGCCAGTCTTCACCAATCAGCGCTCAGCAACGTGCTGTCTGCCAATCAGCAGTCACGGCACCGGCCGGCCGGCAGCCAATGAGCGGGCGCGGACTGGCACCCGCCGTGCGGCCAATGGCGGGCAGAACTGGACACGCAAATGGTCGGATCGCGTTCTGCTGCGCCTCGGCGTTGGGCCGTCGATGGTATCGGCGGCCGGCTGCTCGGACGGTGATGCATCACCATATCCGTCGACGGCCGCACGGACCCGGACCGATATAGCCCGCGCTGGCGCCGCGCCGCAGGCGGACACGGCACGCGCCGTCCAGAACGCTGGCAGGCCGGCGAAAATCGACACTTAGCGATGAGAGCGCATCAAATCACAGTTCATTACTTGGATAGAAGGAAACGGGAGGTAGACATGGGTCCCAGATTTTGAAGTTACGCATAAGCCCTCGTATGGCGATGCATGGAGAGACGCCACGTCAAAATTTCCCCGTACCTTTCTGTGGCGTTCCCACGCCTACGGTTTGTTGTCTTGCCCTGCACAATTGCCAGATCATCACAGCTCCACGTTCGTTCTAGATGCGCTTTAAACAGATCAGCTTGAATGGTCCCAAGAGGTAGGGTGCGCCAGCCCCATCGCCACCTAGCATGTGAGTGTTGGGAGAGGTTGGTGTGGTAAAGCCGCAGGGGTGCGCATCGTTGAATGGGAGATGTTTAGTCCGTATCCATTTTAATGAAAGCTGATTTGATCGCTGCCAACCGTGCCGTATCGAATTATCCACCAATTATTGGTGGGTCGCTGTAGTGGGGTGGTTTGAAGCCTTGATCCGAGAAGATGGTTTGAATTCATCCGCGAAATGCTGTAGCGGAACAGTTTCTAAAACAAAGCTCGGTCATTCGCACCCCACACTGGCATCCATACGTTTTTTGACACGTTTGCCAACAGCCGTGAGCCCGGCGCGGTTCTGGCGCGAGCCCGGCGCAGACCCGGCGCGGGCCCGGCGCGGACCAGGCGCGAGCCCGGCGCAGACCCAGCGCTGACCCGGCGCGAGCCCGGCGCAGGTGCGGCGCGGGCCCGGCGCGGACCCGGCGCAGGCCCGGCGCAGACCCGGCTCAGGGCGCAGGCCCGGCGCGGCCCCGGCGCGGGCTTCGCGCGGGCTCGGCACGAGCCCGGCGCGGACCCGGCGCGGGCCCGGCGCGGGCTTGGCGCGAGCCCGGCGCAGACCCGGCGCAAGCCCGGCGCGGACCCGGCGCAGGCCCGGCGCAGACCCGGCGCAGGGCGCAGGCCCGGCGCGGGCCCGGTGCGGGCTTGGCGCGAGCCCGGCGCGGACCCGGCGCAGGCCCGGCGCGGACCCGGCGCGGGCACAAGCCCGACGCAGGGCCGGGCGCCGTACCTGTTATCGACGGCGGCGGCCAGCGGCGAGCGCGCGGCGCGACACGTGACACTGTCACGGCTAACGAGGCTGGGCCGGTGACGGACGCGCCGCGGCCGCCGCGCCGTGTTGGCCGTTGAATGGGCCGCGACCGGGCGCGGAGCGGCATTGTGGCGCGCCGCGCGGCCGCGGTCACACCTGGTTACGGCGCGGCGGCTCGCGCCATTAGCGGCGCCCTCCGTTGAACAGGTGACGCCGCGCCGGCACGCCACTGCGCCACGCAATCGGCCAGCATGCGCCACGCGCCGGTCCGGCTGTATGGCGCGGCGGCTAATGCCACGGCAGCACGGATGGACCTGGAAACCGTGCCGAGACAGTTACGCCACGGGTGGGGCCAGTGAATAACCGCCTGCATTGCGGTGCCGTGCTTCGAGCCCAGCGGGTTCAAAGGCCTGATGTTGGGTTGTATTGCGTCGCTGTACTCGTGTTCTGTGCTAAGCACTCACCACAAAGCGATGCTCTGTATCTTTGATGTTATCGATCGTATATACCTTTGCAGTTATGGAAGTTCAAGTTGGCTGCGTAAATCGGAGCTAATATACTGATGCCGTGCCCGTTAATTGTAAGGCTGGATCGATGAGACACAGTTGGACCAAACGATAAAACTGATCGGCGTACTGGTGCGTTACCACATTTAGCTGTGGTCAGTGTTGATCAAGGACAGATCCAAAGGGTGGGGGGGGGGGGGGGGGGGCAGGGAGAAGGGTGGACCTGACCATGGCTCCCCAAAGATGGCCAAAGTAGAGCGAACAGTAGACACATTTCTGGACTTAGAAGAAAAAGCAAACAGCTTTTACAGATGGAAGTTTGTTTTGGTGCACTTCTTGATATAGAAGGGAATAAAATCCGATGAGGCTTTAAAAACTGGGACGCATTCTTGGGATTTTGTCCACCTAAAGCGTCCTTCTTGATTCACCCTTAGCAGTGATTGAGACTTGATGGACTATAATCAGATTGTGTTGCCAACAATAGACGCCTGATAAGTACAACACAGAATAATATTCATATTGGCGCGGAGCTGAGATGGACTTGACTTCCAACAGCTTAATAGCAACAATATTTCCGCTGTCTAATCAACCACTGCACGCCAGTTTTGTCATCTGGATCTCTCAGTCGGTGCTGCAGATCAAAACCGAGATGCTGAGCTGGCAGGCTCTCCGCGCGTCCTCGATCCGTGTGTCCCGCTCCCCTCGAGCCTGTCATGCTTTCCTGGCTTTGGAGGGGGGGGGGGGGGGGGACCTGCTCAGTCTCTTGAA